CCGGATAATCTCTTGAAGCGGCATGTTCAAGCAGTTGCTTTGGACTTATTGCTTGGTCTTACGTTCTCTATTTCCTAATTGATTGAAGAAACCACCAGTTAACGTTGTAGTAACTGAACTAGGATGAGAATTTTGTTCTCTTAGTTATTTTTGTCTATGAGATCCTTGTAGAGGAGGCCCTTTGTCACTATACAATGCTGGTATTTTGGTCGGTTCTCTTGCTATATGAACAAGATCGATGTTGGCTTCATTTGCCATGAGATAGAAGGATCACACAAGTGAATTTATAAAGTTTCTTGGGTTCTGAGTGCTGGCTGCTTGGACAAACTTTAGTGTGCTTCTTTATGACTACTAGTACACACTGGTATTTTTCTATCTTGTTCAGGAATGAAAAGTTTCTGACTTGTCCCCCATACCATGGGGTTTCTTATTCATCTTATAAACAGACCTAGTTCTATAGATATAATACCTTTATATAATCGCTATTCCTGTTGCTGAGATGCCAACAATAGCTAAGGAATTTTCCTACTGTATGATGAAAAGCTAAACCTTTCCAGGTTGTTGCTAGATATATATAATAACAATTTATATCGAGTGGAGCCAAAAACACATTTTTTTGTCATCTAAGATGATCAGCAAACCTCCTTTAATGCCTCACTGTTGCTAACTGTTTTTCTGGCATCTCTCCATTGTTGGAATAGGAATATTAATCTTAATTTAAATACTCAAGTTATTGATACTAGGCTTCATTCTGTTTATCCTAAACCCAGTCGATAACATAACACCTAAACTCCATACATAATAATGTATAACCATCTTAAACATAAGTATTTTGTTCATTGATATATAAAAAAGCTTAGTTTTGCATTTTCAACCTTATAGAAATGCCTTAGATATGATTATTGTTAGTTGGCTAATACAATATTGTTCTACTTTCATGGTGCCAGAAATATCAAATGACGCTGGACTAAAGGTAACATCTCCTGGTATAATTGGGCAGAATGATTTGTTAATTGTGGGGCCTGGTGTTCTTGGTCGCATGGTGGCTGAAAAGTGGCGAAAGGTTTGGCTGAAGTGCTTGGAACATTTTATTTGAGATTCTTACTATTTATAATTGATATCATCCAAGATTAAGGTCCCAATATTATTTATTTAAACATTTCCGTTTGTAAGATTGTGGTCTGCTTGACATAGTCTTTGATTAAGGATAATGCAGAACTAGAGTACCATTTTTTCTTGAGAGTGACAACAAGAAATTTATACAGCTTAAACTATTTCTGTTTACTCAGAGGGTCCCAGGAGAGCTCCAGCCTAAGAATTTGAATCTATATTTGAGACCAGTGATGCATAGATATTTTGATGCTCATAAGCAATTCATGAAGTAGCTTAATGTTGGTTACTCCTCACATGTTAGCAAAATATTATCTTTCCATAGTTGATCTTGAGCTTGGAGAGTGCCAGTATTAGTCTCTGTTGGAACATATGTGAACTTTGGTATATAATATCAAATATTTTTTATAATGCTTTATAGATGCAAACTCTCAGAGGGTTAGCTATTTTAGAATGGTATGATATTCTTCATTTAATGAATATCTAGGAACATCCAGATTGTCAGATCTTTGGACATACAATTACCACCGATCATCATGATGAATTGATCAAGATTGGCATCATTCCTTCTTTAAGAGGATCAGAGCTTACCGACAAATTTCCTTATGTTGTATTTTGTGCTCCTCCATCTCGAACCTCAGATTACCCTAGTGATGTGAGGTAAGGATCGAACTGTAGTTACAAGTGATATGTACTCCTGTAAAATCTTTCTAATGATTAAAGTACGACATAAATTTGTTTTATTCACATTTCACAAAAGGTTTCTTTTTTTCCTGGCAAAAAGAATGTCTTGGTATTTCATAATTATCTGGAAATTTAGCAAAATACATTTTATATGGAACATGATACATGATGATAGAAGCTATTATGATATTGAACATTGGACTTATATGTATTTTGATGTTGCATGTATCTCATTCATGCAAGGTTATGAGATCATATTAAGGCACTAGTGGTTTGTTTACCGTAACTTCCAAGAAATTCCTAGAGATGGATAACATGTATTATTTATAATCAAATGCAGATTAGCAGCATCGAACTGGAGTGGTGAAGGTTCTTTCCTGTTTACATCAAGTTCTGCTGTATATGATTGCAGCGATAATGACTTTTGCAATGAGGTATTACACCCAAAATTAGCATATTTCTCTAATGGCAACAATATGTTTGGAATTATTGCGGCGATACTTGTGAGCAAATGTCTTTTCTTCTCTGTATGTGATCTGAACTCCATGATTCCTTGAACATACTAGCTAGTAAGATTTGTTACTGTTAGATTGTTAGTAATTATCACTTGTTGCACTAGAACCATCATTTCCAGAAATTAGCAAATACCAGGGATTCATATCAATGAAGTTAACTAATTTGTGTTCCACATGTAGCTTGAATGAACACTGCAATTTATATTATACTTCTGTGGGGTATGTTATGTACTCATCTTTCGCATTTTTTAGTAGGATTCTCCTCTGGTTCCTATTGGTAGAAGCCCACGGATTGATGTCCTTCTAAGTGCGGAAAAGGAAGTTCTGGATGTTGGTGGCTGTGTTCTGAGGCTAGCAGGGTTATATATATCCTTCCTGAAACTCTACAATTTTTTCCTTGGAGCTAGGTTTTGTATTTGTTCAGAAATCAGGGTTTCATGCAGGATGAAGTTGATTCCACCTTAACAGTTTCTGTGGCTAGTTATTGCTTCTATTGGAATGTTATTATCTTAACTATTTATACAAAGAAGATAGAGGTGCTCATACTTATTGGTTGGCAAGAGGAACAGTTGATGCTCTTCCAGATCATGTGGTAAACCTTATTCATTACGAGGTTATAACTTTTTCCATCCTTATCTTTGTCCATAACTGTCTTTCTATAGTGTTGTTGTCCACATAATTTGGTCTTTTGCCAATTTGATTTTGAATACCATTCCGGATGAAATGTGTACAGATTATTGACAAAGATGGAATTTTACCGAAAGCAGTTAATTATTCTTTGCCATTTGATTGCACTTTGGTGTAGAAACCTAAGTTACTTAATTTTGTGTAAACCTTTGTCTTTCATGTGTGAATTATATCTTATCATGATGAGGTAGTATAGCATCTTACTTTGCAAGTGGCACAGAAGGAGAATTGTTATAGTTGACATAGGTGTGAAAACTAAACTGTGATAAGACATTGGCCAATATGGTCCCATGTGAAAGTTGGTTAGCCATGCAGCCTTTGAGTTTTCTTTAACATTAACTAAATTGTGATTGATCTGCATGGCATCTTGTTCAACTGTAAGCAAAAGGATTTTTTCTTTGTTTTTTCTTTCTGGTGGTCTTTTTTAAGGGGAGGATGCATATTTTGGCCAAATGATGATTATTTTATTATTCAATGACTTATGATGAGCATTTTAATATGCAGGATGCAGCTACCCTTACGATTGCAATCATAAAAAAGAAGCTTCGAGGTCGAACTTTCAATGGTTGTGACAATCATCCTTTGTCGAGGTCTTCTTACAAGGACTCTTTCTTCTGTCCATCTGTTAAATTAACTATCTGGGTGCAACTATACCAGTATAAATACTGTCGTGTTCCTAAATTCATAGCCCTATTTCTTACATCATGATATTCCTAGTTTATTCAGTATTTGGAGTGTCGCTTGTGCAGGCAAGAAATTATGGATTCTGTGAACCGAAGCGGGAAGTATAGCAAGAAGTTCCTGGGATTTACAGGCATGTTTCTAGATTTCTAGGTCACCTTCTGAAGTATATAACACTCTATACACTTGTAACTGGGACTCTTAATTTGTTATTAACAGGCACTGATGGTCCATTGGGGAAGAGGATGACTAATTCGAAAACTCGTGCGGAAATTGGATGGGAGCCAACATTCGTAAGCTTTCCTCAGTTCCTTGGACTACCAGACTGAGTTTGCCTTGTTTTTTCCCTTCTTTGCTATGTTTTCAGATGATTGCAATCAAGTCGGTCATTCTGGTATATTGGTTTTGTGTGGCTAGATTAGTGATCTTCCCGTCATTAGTATCCAGTAGCAAGCTAACCAATCTTTGACACTTGCGACCAATCGAACACCATATTGCTTGTTGGTTATCGTCTTGTCTTGTGCATGTATGAATTGCACATTGATTAATAAGATGGCCTCCCTTTGCTTCTTGGAACTGATTCTGTTTTGCGCTTTTGTTGATATCTCCATCATGATAAAAATATCATGTTCGAAGGATATTTGGTGATGAAAAAGCAGTGAGCTTGTGGCTGATTAAATCTTATGAACTTGTTGGAGTATATGCTTATTATGATTTGACTGCAGTTTATAACATGCAAGGTGGTGTGGTTTCTTTGTGCACTTCAAATCATCTGGATTTGATATTGAACCTAATACTGTGCTTGGCAATCATCCACATGGAGACTTACTGAGAAGACAACGAATTATTATTCATCTCAACTGGATGAAGCCTAATATTTCTTTTAGTGCAGAGTAGAAGTGAGAAAGTACATTGGGTGAACTATAAACTGAAGAGCCGCCTAAGACTCCTCTCTGTCCATCAGGAGAACCATTGATCAACTTTTGTGGTTGATTGGTGTTTCATATGTTCGTAGTTTCTGATAAGGTCCATACTGCTCATCATTAGTTAAGCCATGAGGAATTATCACTGACTAAATATCATCGAAATTGAAATTATTATTTATGTAACGATACCCTAACTAACTAAATATGAATAGAAAATAATAACTTGATTCGAACTCGAAATCTATTTTTGATGTAACAATACACTAACTAAATATGAACAAAAAATAATAACTTAGTATCCGATTCAAAAAAATTAACGTTCATTTATCAGTTTGTCTGTAAATTCGTTGCGCCACACAACAAAAAGCTCAAATTTTGGTAAAATGCTTGTATAAAGTTAAAGTTGTCTATAAAAAGAGTCGTGCTAAAATCTTGTGCACGAATGCATAATGGAATTCATGAACTTGTTGCAAAAATGTAACATTCATACAGTCAAAATTAGTTGAGATACATCAAAGTATAGCTACTATTTAGAACCATCTAGTAAACCTTCTAAGAGGTGCTCTATTCTGTACTTCATGACAGGCTGACCAGATCTGGTCTTCTTAAACATCTTTTCCCTCTCGGCCTTCCTTCTGTTTTCAGCTTTGGCTCTCTCTTCTTTCTTTGCTTGGATGATTGCTTCCCTATCCGTCTTAGCCTTTTCGACTTCTGCGTGTTTCTTCTCGTACTCTTCTCTCAAGCTCAGCAGACTCTTCTTCTTTGTTTTACTTCGCATTTGCGAGTTTTCGGTCTTATCACCATCCTGCAAAGTCATCAAAAGACGACATGAAAGAAAATGTCTTAGCAACTACGGTGCTGCCAAATGCGATGCAGAACAACATGGTGATTTTTCTTGGTCATGTGCTGAAAACATTTCACAGTGCATACATCCACAATGACCAACAACTGATATCACAAGGTTCTGGAACAGCTAAGCCGTCCTTCCATTGTAGATGTAACATCTTAAATCAATAAATAAAGATGAATGAAGTTCAATACACTGCTATGCAGGGAAGCATCTTGATCATTATTTTCTCAGATAGAAAATGCAATTACAAGCAATTTTCTAAGCATTTGTGAACATAATTCCTTTTATTAACTAGTTTTGGAATAACAAGAACAAGAAAACTACACTAGAAAAACACCTTAAATGAAGGTCATTACATTTACAGGAATGACAGACAATGTACTTATGACAATACAATGTGCTCATATATGATGTAAGCAGAAGAGGACACCAGTACATGCAATTATGCACTCACAGGTATTAACAGTACCTAAGGCCATGTAAAATAACCAGTAGCTTATCATGTTTCGTTAGTCCATAAGTATGTTTCATCTTTATCACACCAAAACTTCAACTCTAGAGAATTACAAGAGATAAAATACCTTATCATCCGAAACTTTTGGCATATGATCACTGGCCAGGTTTTGTTGTTTTAGTGTCTTCTTGTACTTGGTCACATATTTTGCATTTCTATAGAACTCTTTTTGCTTTTCTGTAACCATAGTAAAAGATAATTATGATGTTAGCCATGATAAGAAAGAAACTTATCTTCTTATATGCAATCGATAAAAAGTACTTAAAGTAAGGAATTGATGCTGAAGAAGTGTAAGAATGTAAATGTAGATGTGCTAAAAATGATGTGTAACACTTAAAAAGAATAAAAAAAAACCAGCCAAAGAAAAAAACAGTTACTTCATTACTGCCAGTGTTAGAGAATGGTGCCAAAAAGTATACTAAAGGCTTCTCAATGAGAAGCTTATAAATAGATGAGGAGCTGGAGATTCAGGAACAACGTTGATGATCAAAATTCTGACATTTGAGGTACGTAACAATCAATAATACAAGGCAATACTAGTTCAAATAGCTATGATGTTAGCCATGATAAAAAAGAAACTTATCTTCTTATATGCAATCAATAAAAAGTTCTTCAAGTAAGGAATTGATGCTGAAGAAGTGTAAGAATGTAAATGTAGATGTGCTAAAAATGATGTGTAACACTTAAAAGAATTATAAAAAACCAGAAAAAGAAAAAAAGAGTTACTCCATTACTGCCGGTGTTAGAGAATGGTGCCAAAAAGTATACTAAAAGCTTCTCAATGAGAAGCTTATAAATAGATGAGGAGCTGGAGATTCAGGAACAACCTTGATGATCAAAATTCTGAAATTTGAGGTACGTAACAATCAATGATACAAGGTAATACTAGTTCAAATGGCTGTACTTCTATAAGATATTATTTGCCTGTAGGATTTAAGATTTTGGAAATTATTAGTACTTTTAAAACATACATTTAGACCTGCCAAAGCCAAGTATTGCATCTTGGACTTTGTCAAAAGGTTCATATACATGGTCATGAGTGCACGAGTGCGGTGCAAATAGTACACAGAAAGAATCTCTTTGCATGTGTGATAATAGCTATATTTATCCTCTCACAATGCCACATTGGCAGGAGACTTACACTGCACAATTACTTTGTATTGCACCTGACTTCTGATTAGAATACGGAATACAGGATAGTGTTGCAAATCAAGGGTATATGATGCAATGAAAACGGATTAAAATAATGCGAAACAAAATACAGGACAATAATAAAGTCATACGCAGGATGGTTGTGTCGATCATCACAATGTGGTAGTGCTGACTCATTTGGGAGGTATTGAAATACATACAGGTTAATTTTTGGTGAAAGCCTGGCAGAAGGGCATACCAACAGGTAACAACAACACATCATGCCAAAAGATGTCTCGGAACACCCCCGATGCCCCGGTGAGGCTATCCTTGCTTGAATATTTAGCCACTCTTAACATATGTATTATCATGTAGCAACGACAATATAGCAACAAATAATTGAAACCACAACTCTTATCAACCAATTGCACTCGTTCCTACAAAACAAACCTAGTTGTTGAGGAAAGGCTGATGCCAAATGGCATCACACAATCAAGATCAAGTAGATGTTGCAAGCTATAGTTGACATCAAACCCTAAAGTAACAAAGTCATATATCAACAACCCTCTGCAGTACATCAATGAACCTCATCATAAAATGCAATGTGGGACATAGATAGCTGCAACGTAGTAAAAATTACATCTTTTTTGTTGCCTAATTGATATATCAAAGCAGATGACCGAAAAGGAATAGTTTTGCTACCTCGTAAAAGCGATCATCGCTTCAAATCGATCGCACTCGTGACAAGAAATAGGCAAACTAAGCCCTACAGAAACGAAGAAAAGAGTGCCCAAGAGGGGAGGAAGGGCTCTTACTTATGAGGGCGGGGTTGTATCCGGAGGACCTGGATTTGGCATTCGCGAAGGCTTCAAGAGAGAGCCCCTTCCCTCCCAACCGCCGCTCGTTCCTCTTCTGCTGCTTCCACCGATTCTTCCCAAACTCTTTGCTCGTTCCCTCCTCCGAACGACCTCCGCCGCCTTCTCCTACCGCTGGGCGCTTCATCTTCTCACCTCGACTCTCGCTATCTCCGGTTTCCATTAGGGCTCCATATATCGGATCTACGATTCGGGTTCGAATCGACCCGAATCCGAAGATTGGTTCTTCTTTCTGTCGACGCGTGGAATGGTTTAATCACGACAGAAATGCGAGTTAAACCCGAATCCGAATCAAATTCTGATCTCGTTCAAGTCCTATCCAAATTGGTGTTATAACTCACCTTAAACCTTTTTAGCATCGTTATCCTTAAATTAAAAAAATTTATATTAAAATTTTTATAGTTATAAAAGTAAAACATCTAACTTTGTTTATCTTCGTATCATAAGTTTTAATGACGAAAGTATAAAAATAATGAGCAAAAAAATAATTTCAACGTCTATAAGTTACTATTGTGGAGAAAGAGGAAAAACAACGATGAGATGTGAGACAAAGGGAAAGAAGAAAGAAAACAATGCAGATGTTAACACTTTGTATCTGCATCAACATTATTCGACAACTACATCAATATTAATACAAATGAAGAACAACAAAATGATTACTCGGCATCTGCATCGGTGATGACACAGATACAAATACAGAGTAGTACTATTCTGCATCTGTGTCGAAATCAACAAAGATACGAATAAGGGCGGTATTGCTCTGCATCTATGTTAACATTGTCTAGTGGCACCAACGTAGATGCATTTGTGTTGTCCTCTTTCTCTTTTCCTTGTGCCACATCTCTTTTTGTTGCTCTCCTCTTTATATACAATAGCTACCCATGGCCTCAACAACGTTATCATTCACTACCACCAAAAATATAAATGAGATGTTGAAATTACTTTTTTACTCAATATTTTTGTGTTTTCATTCGTAAAACCGACGACGTTTAGATAAATAAAACTAGATATTTCACTTTCATAACTATAAAAATTTTAATATAAATTTTTTAAGTATAAAAACTGAGATACTAAAGAAGTTTAACTATGAGAGGGTAACATATAATTAGTCAATTAGTCTGTAAAATTTACTTGTCAAAAACAAATAGATGTGTTTACGTACAACATTGGTGCATTTATAATGTCATTGGCATTATTTCACAGCAAAAAAAAATTACAATTGGCGTTAAGAGACTAGTGTTAATTATGATGATAGCTTGCCATGATTTATGTGGAAACTTGTTTTAGAAATGGCTATCTATAATAAAGAATATTAATAATTAAAATCCTAATTTTCTTACACATGTTATTGATAAAAAAAGCCTTTTTAATATAGTAATTCCTTGTTATTAATTAAGTAAAAAATTTTCACCTAGTTAAAAAAAGAAGAAATTTGTGTAAATTTATTCTGTCATCCATTATTATTTGCAGTTAGTGGGAAGAAATGAGCTATAGTGACAATTCAATTTAGTTTTTTAACCGTCTATTTGGCTCCCTTATGATTTAATCGCATATGCATATACCTTAATTTTTAAAATATATTTCAAAATAAAAAAGGATTTCAATTTTTTTTAGCTGATTTGATCACTGACTAATATGTTATGTCAATGATTAGAGCCAATTTTCAGTAAATTTAATAAAATATGTGACCAAACAATTTGCTGTCTCGATTCATAATTATAATTCTTAGTCCTCTTAAAAGTATGTTATTGGTCATAATAGCACACATATTATGCTCTAAAACTTCGTTCATCCATTTCTTCTTTTTCCAACTTTATTAATCATCCACTCTATGTTTTTGAAAAGGTTCATTATTCATTTTTTTATCATGTTATATCACTTTGATTACATATAAAGTCTAATTGTAATATCTTCATGTAGATTGACTTATAATGACAAATTTGATAGGAATACTTCTCTTAGCTTAGTTTAAGATTAAGCATTTTAAATCAATTAATCAAATTAAAAAAATAATATATTAATTATCTCATTAGGTCTGATCATGACAATTGATATAGAGTAAACTAGTTTCGTAGCAATACAGTATTAGGGCATGACGACAAACTCAAGTAAAAAATGATTATCCATAAATGAGATTAAAATATATGCGATAATATGAAATCAACAATGAGATATATCTATTATGCACTATACTAAAGTCTAATTCCGAGTTTTGTTAGACTTTGATGAGAAAGTCAAACTGTTAAATGAAAGAGATTACAACACCTTAATTTAGTCTCACATAGTAAGTGAGCTAGAATTTATATTGATTTATAAGCATAGCCCTAATAAGTATACTATTATTAATATAGCCTTAAATATTTTGAGCTAATAATTTAAACTCAACAAAATTAGTATGTCAATTGTCCTATTAAAACAGGTGATGACTATAGTAATATTTTGAGTAATCTTTCACTCAAGCTGCCACTGAAAGTGACATTAAAGTCATAGACTTAAGTGGCCGGTGGTTGATGATCCAACTGAACTTTGAAGCAATTAGACTCTCAATCAATAAGAGTATCATAAATTGATGCACCTCCTAAAGGACCACAAAGATTCTCCTATGTTGATGTTGTACGATTAAATGCTTTAATTTTTGCTAATTGACTAACTATCAAGTCGTGTGATGTTATCATCTACTTTTGCTTGCATGATGTGTTATTTGCATCACAAAAATATAATTTGCAACACATTCCCTTGTCACAATTTCTTGGGATGCATTTAACTTCCCCTTAAAACTTTTTTTTTTCTTTTCTGGTGTACATAATGAAAGCATAAAAAATCTGTAATATGTTATATTAAAATACGAAAATAACCTTTTTATTATGATTGAAATCAAATACTTCAATCTAATTTAACGATGTATACCTTTTATGTCATCTATTCAGATATTTTTGTTTGATTAGTAAGGCATCGTCTTTAATCCAAGATCGATGTCAATCAACAACGAGGAACTAGATCATTTCTCCTTTCTTTCTATCCTTGACCAACTAGATTGATTTATAGGTGAGAACAAAGGCTCGGATAAGATATTGGGAGATTTCTCATCAAGATTATCTCCTTAAGGAATCGTACTTAAGTGGACTTCTACTTTATTAACTAAAATATTTCAATAAAATTTAATTAGTTATATTATATATCTTATCCAATTTTAAACGGTCACGAAAATCTAACGCGCACATCAAAAATATTTCATGACCGACAAGACTTGAATCAAATTCCCCAACTTAATGTTTAGGGTAGTGGGTGAAGGCATTCATTGAGGAGAAAAGATATTTAATTGGAATAGGGGACTTGGAAAGTTAGGTGAATCATAATAAAAAGTGATGTGCTGTTATCATTTATGTGCATATATTATCAATCATCACAGCATTGCAAGACATAATCGTATTGATTTAATAGTTGGAGTACTCTCTCGATTTTGGGTTTACTTATTTCGAGAAGAATATTAGATCCTCAAATATCAAACCATTCAAACTTTTTTGTGCTATATAATTTATTGATTCGTTATCCATTATCTCTTAATTCTTAATCAAATAAAAGAATTGACATTGCATTCAGTTCTAAGTCTCTTGCTCGAGTCATGAACAAAAACAATGCTCCTATGAGATCCAATTAGTTAATTTTACTTGAGATATTCGAGATATTATGGTCCTTAAGAGGGAGAGTATATAAAATGTGGGCACATTATTGAGGAAATTTTAATGTGGATATTGAATGAAGCTCCTAATATTAAAAGAAACAATTATTTTCCCTTCCTTAAAAATGAAAATATTAAAAATAAGTAAAGCTTACATTTGAAATGTCAATAGATTTGGAGAAATAAATGAGACCGATTATATCTATTTCTATTTGTTGTTTGGTTCAAATCAAACTCAAACAAAAATAAAATCAGGTTGGAATCCGAATCGGTTCAATAATTTATCGATTCTAAATCAAGATAATTTAGTTGTAATTTTCGATTTTTGAAATTAAGAACCGATAAGTAGCTTCGGTTTGAATAGATGGTTCATAATTAAAAAATATATAATTTTTATTAGTGAAATAAATTTATAACTTTGAGTTTTTCCATAAGTATCGTAACTTTGAAAAATTTTGATAAAATATTTAAAAAAATAAATAAATATTTTATCCTTATTAGTCAATCATCACCCTCTATCTCGTCCCGTCCATCAACCCTCTCATCTCTTCTAGCCATATGCATCTTCGTGTGGGGGGTTGACGGACAACGTCGATCGTTTTTTCTTTCACAATGACTTACGTCTTGTTCGATATTTAAAGAAATATCAAAATCAATTTGTATTGGTTGATACAATATATTTTGAATGGACATCAGTCCAGTCCGTAGAGGATGAGTTGATTGATATAGTTTGTATTAGATGATGGATGATGAGATGTTGATGTGGTATACGAAAGATACGAATCATCCATCTTCCAAACACCTTGTCACGTATGGATTTCAATTCCGCCCACTAACCACCCAACCTTCTCTCACTAACCACCCAACATAAATTCCATTGACTTTTTTACGGTCTTCCCATTAAATCATACCACCTAAACCTTACGTTATCTCCTAATATTTTACTGGTAACCAACATAGCATGCATTAATTCTTCCCACCAACCATCTCCATCTCACCCTCCCAAACCAGAAAAAGGAAGAGCCATTACTTCTGTCGAACACTATTCGGGCGGCTCACTGCCGTATCAAATCAAATGCCCGTGTCATCCATCGCATTCACGTTCGCCGCTCTGGTGGTTGGCTATGATCACCTTGCGGTGCAGCTCCGGCGATCCAGACTCCACCATGCTTTCTCCCATGAGCTCTTAAATCGATGCCCACCTTGCACTGGTAAGCCCACTCCCGTCGGTGATCGAACTCCCCCACTCCCATCTATAAATGCCATCTCGCTTCAGCACAGCATCCGGCAACTCGTCTCTCTCTCTCTCTCTCTCTCTCTTTCTCTCGTGTGAGTTTTCTGGTGATGGAGTCCACAGTGAAGCAAGGCGTGAACGGAGGGCTCCGCCATGCGACGGGTGACGAGGGCAAGACACAGGCCGGGGCGGGTCTTTCCGCCGGGATCCTGCGACTGCTCGTCGTCGCCACGACGCTGGTCGCGGCGCTGGTAATGGCCACGGCGTCCGAGACGCAGACGGTCAGCATCGAGGTGGCTCCCACGCTGCCGCCGTTGCCTGTGCCGGTTACTGCCAAGGCCTCCTACTCCTCGGCGTTCGTGTAAGCCACCGTTCCTCTCTCCATGTCTGCAAGACGAGTCACCAAGCGTTCGCTCTGTGCTCACTCACCTACGCGCATGCAGATACTTCATCGTGGCCAACGCGATCGCGTTCGCGTACTCCGCATGGTCGCTCGCGGTCGTCGTCCTAAAAAGACGCAGCACGAGGGGGTCTATTCTGCCCATCTCCATCTTGGACGCGGTTATGGTGGGGCTCCTCTTCTCCGGCAATGGCGCCGCCGCGGCGTTCGGAGTGTTGGGCAAGTACGGAAACTCCCATGTCGGCTGGACCAAGGTCTGCAACGTCTTCGGCAGATTCTGCGCGCAGGCATCGGCTTCCATCGTCGTCTCGCTGATAGCCTCGGTCAATCTGCTGGCGCTCGTCATACTCTCGATGGTTGGCCTCCACAGGAGATCGTCGGCTTGAAGTTGGAGATAGAGAGTGCGTCTTCTCGGAAACATCGTCGTGTAGGGTGGCATCACTGCTTCTTGCTTTGCATGGACACCATGAACAGCTGCTGCTTAGCATTACAACGAAGTGACATGCAACAATTCCGCGGCAAGCAATGCTTGGATACAAATTAGATTTAAGGACGACATGATTTCCAGATTAGATATGAGTTTGACAGGGCATAATGAGTAATGGATGACATAAAACAAGTTGACTCCATACCCTACTAATAATAAACTCTAAAAATTTTAGAAAATAAACAGTAATATCATCATATCTCTCACAACCACACAATGGATGGTGCAGTGGAAAACAAAAGTCATTACTCATCTGTCCGTATTCAGATTCCAGCCCTATGCAATAATTCGAACTTTGCACTGTCCTTTGTCTACCTTTCTCCGCACCCTACTGACCTGCAACTTTTACCAACGCAAGGATGATACAACCAATCTCTCTCTCTCTCTCTATCTATCTATCTATCTCTGTCTCCTCCAAATCACTCGTTCTACTTTTCCCTCCTTCCTTTTTCTCTCCTGTACCACAATCTGCATGTTTGAAGGGCATTTACTCAGCCCTAAATTGGCCGATATCAGAACGCTAACTTAGCCTTCTATTGCACCAATCATTCTTATGATCAAACCATGTGGCTCATTTACCTCTCAACATAGCTCTAAATGGGATTTCTAGCTCTTTCTTACAAAGTCAAGATAAGCCAATGCAAACAGGTCTCCTCTTACATTTGTTTATGATAAATTTACATGCGATGGGATCGTTGATCTATCAACTTAATATACTTAAAATATCTAATCTCAAATTAATATTTTTTTATAAATTTATTTAAATTTTATCTTATATCAAATGTAGGATTAAACTGAACTATTATAATCTCATTGAGATTTTGACTAAGTAAAACATGACCTCTCTTTATATTGTGATGTGAGCTTAATTCTATCATCCAAATACTCATCTATTTAATACTCATCTAATAAGATAAGTGATTCATTCGAATGCTTAGGCATATCCAATAGAAATACTAAGTTGGGATATACAATCTCATTTCTACCATAAAAGATGATTTATTTTATAAAGGAAAAATAACATGTTGTACATGGGTCCCAGTCATGGCAAATTTAGGAAGAGAGAGATTGTTCTCTTAATGTCACATGATTTGTAATGTATAGTATCCAACAAAGTTAACTTGATATCTTGGCAACACTCCCTATCACCATTTCACTCTCACCACTTACTCCCCCATGGCTTTGTAGTAGTGGAGAAGGTAAGTGCAAATGTGTGGATAATGTTTGGAACCTCACCTTTCCCAATATCACTATTGCTGCTACTCTCACCCCAACTGCCGTTAACCCTCCCGTTTACCTGTCTCTAATACGAGCCTCACCTTTCCCATCGCTGCTGCTTCTTCTGCTACTCTTACCCAGCTGCCGTTAACCCCTCCGGTCACCCATCCCTGATGCGAGACGCGGAGTTCATCAGATGCCATCATCGAACACCAACTCTTTCTCCGGCACATGTCCAACCAAGCTCCGTTCTTCTTCCTTCCACAGCTCGCCACTCTCTCTTCCTCATCACCCTTCCCAGCTGCAGGTTTCGAATTTTAAATGAAGTCCCATCCATGCCCGCGCCATCATCATTGCAGAATTGCCGTCAACTCCAAGCCTGAGTGGCTGACAGCCACCACCACCACCACCACCTCTCCATGGCCAGTCAAAGCTCGACCACAGTGACAGGAAAGAGAAACCCCCCTCAAATAAAGAGGCCTGAGGAGAGAGAAGGAAGAAAAAACAAAGCCTCGGCTAGCTCTGCTCCACTTTTCCTAGGATTCTCACCATGTGGCCACTTCCTGAGCACCACCATTAATGTCGTCTCTGCTCGTTTAGGCTCTTGGGAATAGTGGAGGAACTGGAGAACACCCATCTCTCTTTCTCCTTGATTTCTGGCACCGGATCTTGAATGGCCACTTGGGAGACCCGTTTTGCAGGCTAGGGAGAAGCTGGTGTTCTTCCTCTCGTTCCGAGCTGAGGAACAAAGCTTCTGCTAGTGGATAAAGGTGGCAGCCATGCAGCAAAAAGGTCGACTTCAGCCGCCACCCAGCTAGCTTTGTCGTCGGCTTTCGGCTTCCACATGCTTGCATCGGAAGGTATTCGTTATATTCTCTTCATCTTTTCGTTGTTTCCTCTTGATCCATCGAGGTGACGCCTCCGAACCCCTCGTTCCAGCTCGATCTTGACTTGGTCAACTCGAGACAGAGGCGATGGTGCTGCAGTTGGAGGACTTCGGTTTGGATCCCTCGGATGGGCCTGCGACCGAGTCGGAGCCGGTGGAGCTGCCGTCAACACCCTCGGTTGTGTACATGGACGTCAGCGTCGTCCCTGAGCACGACAAATCAGGATTGGCATCCACGATCTCCAGCCTCCAAGGCAGTGCTCTTTCCTCGTCGAGAGCTTGCGTTTGTAGCTCGTTGGACTAAGGATTCTGGTTCTGCTTCTGCAGCGGAAATGTGGCAATTGAGATCAAGGCAGAGGAACCTGGACGCGAAGCGGCGTGAGGCTCTTGATCGGATACTGGACATCAAAGGCAACCTTCATCTCAGCTCGAGTTCGTCCCTGGATTCTTCGTCTGAGCCTGACCGACTTCTGGTTCTTCTGCAGGAAGCATCAGGGTGTTCTGCCGAGTCAAGTCCGCGGACGAGAGAAAGGTGGCAACAGTACCCATTTCGATCGAAGCAGAAAAGATCACTATTAGATCAGTCGGAACGAGGAAAGATTTCGTGGTGGATCGAGTGTTCTCCCCAGAGTCCACACAAGGTAACGAGATGAGACTTTGAACTCTCGAATCAAACGCCTTCTCTGAACGAGCAACTCATGAATCGCTGTCGCAGATGATGTTTTCAGAGAAGTACAGCCAATCCTCAGATCCGCTCTCGATGGCCACAATGTCTGCATCTTAGCGTACGGTCAGACTGGAACAGGAAAGACGCACACAATGGTAGATCTTCTCAGCTATTCCACTCTTTTGTGCTCTTCGTCAGATGATGATGAAGCGTGATTCTTCAGGAAGGAATCAGTGACCAACCGGGAATAGTTCCTCGAACCATCGAAGAGCTCTTCCATCAGATCTCTCAAGACAAATCAGCCTCGTTTACCTTGTCCATGAGCATGCTCGAGGTCTACATGGGAAGCCTCAGAGACCTGTTGGTCCACAGACATTCTTCAGCTCGATCCTTCCACTGGATTCCTAAATGGTCGGTGACCTGCTTCGATCTTTCTCTCAGATTCCTGTAGCTGCAGGTTCCACTGGTCATCTAAGAACTCATCACCTGCAGCAGCAACCTCAGCATCCTGAGCAGCAGCGACGGCGTGGTGGAGATCGAGGGACTCACGGACGTGCCGGTGACCGACGCCAAACAGGCCTACCGATGGTACGCCAGGGGGAAGCACGCTCGTTCTACTTCCTGGACTAATGTCAACGATGCTTCAAGCCGATCACACTGGTTCGTGATCGAGCTGCCTCAAATCTTTGGTCCACTCCTTTCCTGCTAATTCTCGTCAGTGACTGTTCCAGTGCAGCTTGACCAGAATCACCATCCTTCGATCGAACGACGCGGTGGGAGGTGGCAAACCAGTGAGCAAGCTTTGGCTGGTGGATCTCGGCGGCAGCGAGCGCTTGCTGAAGACCGGTGCAACCGGACAAACACTGGATGAAGGGAGGGCTATCAATCTCTCTCTCTCTGCACTTGGTGATGTTATTGCTGCTCTGAGAATGAGGCGCAGTCACATTCCTTACAGGCATTGACTCGCTCCACTCCCTATCATACTTTTCTTTCATTCTTCCTATCACTGAACATGAATTCTTCCGCGCATACATATGTTTACAGGAACAGCAAGCTGACTCAGATCCTCAGTGACTCGCTGGGTGCGTGAATTACAAGTGAATTCAGAGCAAATTTGGCCATTGATAGAAGGATTTTTGGTGCTAATTCCACTCGTTATGTTTTGGCAGGCAATAATTCGAAGGTTTTGATGATTTTGCACATCAGTCTTGGTGATGATGATGCAGCGGAGACTGTGTGTTCTCTGAGCTTCGCTAAAAGAGTCAGGGCGGTGGAGGCAAATCGAGAACTTTCAGAGGTACCATCTCTTCCTAATTGATTGATTCTTGCTCTGTATCTAATGATTCATGCATGATTCAGGAGACGAAGAAACGAAAGCAGCAAAGCATCACTGAGCTTGAGCAGCACATACAGGAAGCCGAAGAGGAGCTGCAGAGAGTGAGTAAGCAGATGGAGATGGCCGAGAAGCTAATCCAGGAGAAGACCGAGATCTTGCGAGTGGCTCATCAGCTCCCTGACGAGATGGCGCCGGAAACCCAGGCAGCAGAGAAGCCAATCCGAGCGACGCACGCGGTGCCGGTCCCCCGTTTCATGGCTTCCACCGAGTGCAGCCGGCTGAGGCAGAAGACAGCAGAATTGACGGGGAGATCAAGAGCCATGAGCGTGGTGGACAGAAGACCCATAGATCTGTTTGGATCTCAGTCACTTAGCTGCTCAGTCCATGATCATGTGATGCCGACGAAGAAGAAGAGAACATGGCCGTGCAAGCGAAGCGATCCGTCACCGCACTGTAACACACCGAATGAGAGCCACAACATCATGGATTCAAAGGGATCATCGTTACCGAGATCGAAGAAGGTTGTGTCCGCTTCGAATCCGAATCTGAGGGTGACATTGCATCGGCAGCACAGAAGAAGGATGTCGGATCTGATCTAACAAAGCAATGCCTGCAAAACTTGACTGCTATGTGAAATTAAATTGAGTTCTTTCTTTCTTGCTTGAGATTGATGGGTTGGTTTGATCGTGGTTTCTTGCTGAGTTGATGATCCCTTCATGTTTTGCTTTTAGATTGAAACAGAAGGGTGGGATTGTTTGTGGTGTGGTCATGCTGTGGTGATGGTGTTTTCCTGTAAATTTACTTCGAGCTAAGCTCGTGATTTGCAGAATAATTTGATGAGTATATTGCACTAAAATCATCTCTTTTTCTATTACTGTCACAGCAACTGCAATTTATGGTTGACTATTGTGAAGAGAGATTGGATTTGTGTATGAGGATTTAATGCAGGGTTTCTTGTTGGATATCATTTGGTGATTTGGCATATAGGAAAGAAAAGATTTGACATAGTTTTTTTTTTCTTTTTGTTTTTAATCCGACCAATTTCACTCAAATGAGAAAATGGATCAGATTCTATGGTATCCATAAATCTATGGGAATAAAAAATAGGAAACAATCAAAATGAAATAAAGAAATTTTTGATCTTTTCGGTTCTTGAAAAATATATCATAAAATAATGAGTTTGGATGACTATTTTAGTTGCTTTTAGTTTGGTCCTCGGAGCTAAGTAGATCTTGACCCATAATAGAAAGAACTTATCATCAAGTTTACTGCAAGGTATAATGTGAAGTTTTATATTGATTTTAACCTTGAGGAACAGACAATTCCGACATGGACATGCAAATGTTTGAAGCATCTTTCCCAAGACAAATTAGGACAGAGAGAAGGTACTGAATCACAAACATTATTGTCCTCTAAAGTACAGTAAGATCCAATAATTTTATGGCTGTTGTTGTTTCCATCTGTCTGCAAACAAAGATAGAAAGGAGTGAATTCTGGTGAAGGGGGGCAGCCCTAAAAGGCTTAGGATTCCCCCCATTTAAGTAGATGGTTGAGATGTGAGACATGAAACCAAGCTAGAATATAATGTCTATTTTGGATACATTTAAATTTTGTCAATCAAACAAGTCCATCATATTTGAAATTTTTGAATGTATAGTTGACAATCTCTTCTACATCTACCCAAAAAAAACCCAATCTGAATCTGTATACCTCATTCATCTGATCTATATGCATATCAATTTTCATCAAAAATTAGAGAATTCTATATTCCGATTTTTTTTTTCGAGGAGATGTATACCTATTACATCTGGTCTATAACCAAGTTTAAGTCATTCTCAAGATTCTTAAAACAAATCCATCATTCGAAGTAAAGCAGATTTCCGACTAATTTAACACAAATAGTTAAGGCTACATCTAAAAGTTTGAACTCAGGACAGTAATGAAGTTCCAAATCAACTGCCCGGAGGTAAAATATTATCCTCATATACATCAACTCAACCCTAGAAAAGAAAGTATATATAGAGACCTACAACAACTAGTTTTACAGTCCCACAACTTATTGACATCCAAAGTTGAAATGGTGCTTACTCGAAATAGTTAAAATCCGAGATCTGTCCCCTCCATTCGATATCATGAACCCCGAACTGATTCAGTTACAACAAACCGAATATAAAATTCTCTACCTTTATTTCTTTCGATGTGTCACCTTAAAATCCAAACACATGATGGGGTGTCAGATCTTGGACCAGCAACTGTTCGATAAATGTAGAGCTTCTCGACAGGGCAATTATCAGGCTGTAACTCCAACGGCAGCCCTCTTTTTCTCTCGTTGATGACCTCCACATTAAGTAGTGGCATCTTCCGGGCAAGCTGTCTGCAGGCTCCCAGGGTCACAGAGCATGATGACATCCAAAGGGATCGCATTGTCTCCAGTTTCGCAGCATTATCCAACAAAGGTTTGTCCCCAAACGGGCAGTCCCTGATTTCCAGCTTCCGTAAGTTCTTGCAACCAGAGAGAATGTAATGAAGACCAGCATCACCATCACCAGCAAAAGCAACTGACAGCATCTCAAGACAATTTGCCGAGGCCCCGATAGATTTAAAGACAAGGTCAGTGAGAAGACCAGATAGGGAGAGGCGCCGGAGGTGCTTGCAGGATTCAACGATAGCACTGAAGCCAGCATCTAGAGGTTGTCGAGTGATATAATCGGGGGTGTGAGGCTCCATAATGCAGAGGCGGAAGCACGTGAAATTAGGGCAGTTTTTAGCAACAGTAAGGAGAGCTGCGTTAGTCATTTGCCGGCAAAAGTAGAGAACAGAGTGAAGCATTGGGCAACCAGCAGAGATGGCGACCAGACCATGTTCGGTAAGAGAGATAGGCTGTGCGGCACCGTATGGATCAGAAGGGAATACCCGTAGTTCTTGAAGGAGCTTGCAAGATGCTGCCACAGCAATAAGGCCATCGTCCTCAATTAAATCCATTACCTATTAAAACAAGCTCCTTGGTTAGCAAACACATGGCTACTGCAAATTAACATAGCCAAAGACAAAGAGAACGTATAAACTACCGCAAGATTTTCACCTGATGCACCAAATGGCATCAACTAATGAATTTGATTACTTGGCAATGACAAAAGCATAATAAAATTAAAGGCAAAACGGTCGTCTTAGGTTAAACACATTTCCAAGCTTTTTACCAGTGGTCCATAGATAAGATGAAAAGAAGTCAATTTAGATACAATAGATATGACGAACAATGCAAGTAAAATCGAAGACATGCAAGCTCTACAAGGGCCTTGTCCAGATCAGTGGAAAAGCATAGGAATGTAGTAGTTTCCCATAATAAAATATATGAAAGATTGAAAAGATGCAGATATACCCATAGTCGTTGCAGATTTTTGCACCAGCTGATTAACTTGATGAGCTCCGGGCCTTGTATCGTAGCATAGCTCAGATTCAGTGATGTAAGACCCTCACAAACTGAGTAGATTGCAGGTAGGTATGTCGGTCCAGCTTCCCAGAAACCAGAGAGGCTCTTCAAATTTTTACAGCCAGCAATGGCAGACTCGAGCTTGGAGAAAAGCTCTGGATGATGTTGTGCAGCAAACTTGCCAGTTCCAAGGTCCACCAGCTGTGGCACCCTGTGTAGGAGGCCGACAAGCCTTTCTAGAGGCACAGAATGGTTGAGTCTGAGGGTCTTGAGATTCGGACATCTGCCAATGAGGCGCTCAAGAACAGAAACATTCACCTCACCTTCCAAGCATGCAATGTTCAGGGTTACTAAAGAAGCAAAAGACTCTGGAAAGTGGCTCATCCAATGTAGACAATTATCCTCCACTTCATTTTCATGTAGGTCTAGCTCCCTCAGATTCCTGTTATTATAAAAATGAAAGACAGATTTACACTTATAATGCAAATAGATCATGTATAAGAATTTCGTAGGACAATATCTTTTAGCATTTAAAAGTTAGCAGTTCTGAGACCGGTTTACAATAATCACAGTCACCAGACAAAATTAGTTGCTAACAAAGAAGTTACAATTCAAATGATTTTTTGTTAGTTAAAGAGAATAATAGTAGACCAACATTCCTCAAACAACAACTGATTATTAACTTCACAATATCATGCATATAGGTATTTTTTTTTCCCATAACATGTTGTCATGGATTGGTGATGACAAATAAGCTACAATAGAAGATGGAAGTATATGAAACAGCTATTTACAAGTAATTTTCATAAAAGTAGTGCTCATTTCAAGTACATGGTCTTTCCAAAATCGCCTAGGGCATGTTAAATAAACAATTTTAAATTTTCATCCTCTCCATTCTCCATTGAAAGAGGAAATTCAAAGGGTTTACCAACTAAAATGTCATGTTATCTTACAATCACCTAATCCTTAAAGAGTAATGAGAAGGAAATCTCTCTATCAGCCTCAGGCCCAGGGGCATAGTTTATACTATCTATACATACATATTGATGTTTAGGGCTAGGACATTCTATACATACAGAATGCCTATCTATACATAGTTCGTACTATGTCCTCAGTTGGTGGTCCTATGAAAAAGGTGTTTACTTTTGGGAGATATTTGCACAGTTGGTGGTCCATAGTTCGTACATTGTTGTACTGTTTCCTAGCAAGACTCTCCTTTTAGCCTTCACTTGGCAACATACGATATTGGCTTAACCACAAACTCTTATGCCAAGTGTGTGACTGTTGCTCTTTTATCTCATCTTACTTCTCCCATATGTCTGTGCTGTTATCCCTATTTTGTGTATTCTGCTACAACAATTAAGACTGGAGGAGCTGTCTGTATTTGAGGTAGCCAAGTGCTCTAGTTTTCAAATTTTCTGATGATACATAATTAATTCATGCAACTAAACCCATTCTTGTTTAAATATGAATATGCTGACATTTTATGCATATCTGCACTTCAATTACATGATTTTAGTATATTACTCAACCATGTGTATTATTGTATTCACTTATCCAGAGGAAATAAGTTCCACTGACTAAACTTTTTAATAAAAAACTTGTCTTGCTGAACGCACATTAGAGAACAAGATGGAGGACCATCGTAAAATAGTTGGGGTGAGAAAAGACAAGCATGACATGTGCATGTAAAATTTTGTGCCATGAAATTAGACAGCTATTTTGATTAACTGATCATCATGATCCTTGCTTGTAGCCCATAAATCCTCCAAAAAAACTCATGGCAATTACCACCTAAAAAAGCTACTCATAATTTCCTTAACAATTGCCACCACCACTAGCAATGACAACTGCTGTCAGAAACTCCAAGGCCGCTGAAGCACAAACCACACAAACCAGTGAAGCAAAGGGAGTAATAAATCCTAGTAAATTATATATGTGACCTCATGGTGGTCCAGAGCAACATCAGGAGAGAGGAATTGAGGGTCTTGGATGCCGAAAAGGGGCGATGAGAAACAACGGAAAGGCAAAAAAGGAAACTAGTTATAAGGGAAACAAAAAGATCTTACCATCACCAAACAGGTGCAGGTAGGGCGATGAAGCAAATAGATTTTGTAGGTAGGCAATGCAGGGAGGATTAGCCAACAGCAAGATTGTGGACAAACTGTGAAAAACATTATTATAGAAGCAAGGATGGAAATTTTGCGATATGAGAACTCGTCACAAATATCATGATGAGAGCATCTCATCATCAAAGATAAGGATGAAGTAAATAGATATTGTAGTTTACAAAAGGTGTACGATGGCAAGGAAAAGAACTGTGTAGCCAATCCAAATAGTTAATATATTACATCTTGTTTTTAGTTTCCAAAATGTCAACCTAAATTAGATGATTAGAATTTTAATTATCCAGGAAATTACATTTAAAACGATAAACACATGTAACCAATTTCAATTTTCTCGAAAATACTTCCAGCTCGAAAAAAATTTCCACGAGCTAACATAACAGAACCAACAACACATATGTCTATGTCTCATCCAAACAAGTTCCTCAAGGAGTATATTTATAGACTAAACAAAGTAATGTGTTCATAAGATGCTACGTAATTTTGGTCCCACATCAAAAGTTGGTTTACAAGAACTTGATAGGTGCACTACTATTAACAAAAACATGCATTCTTATATAGCCAGAATCCCTTAAACCTACCATTACCAATAATGACTTAGGAACAGCGAGAATCATTAGAAAATTTCCTTTTCTATTAACATCTCCTAGTGTTAGCAGGACCAAAGTGAAGTTTCCTACAAAAAACAATCCAGTCTGTTGGAATGCCTCTGACATTCCTGCTGTTACATGTGATTCAACTTATAAAGTTATCCTATCAAGTTCCACAAGCTTCTCCAACGTAAAAACATAGTGTCATGGAAATTATGCCAATCTGATTCAAAATTGGCCGATCCTAAACAAAACAAGTTAAAGAGGCCAAGAACGAATGGAGTTCAGAGAAATCTACTAGCATGGAGAAACAGTTAAGAGACTACAAGAAAGCAGACAATTATATTCACAAATTGAACACGTTGCAAATCGTATCACCTACTACACTCCTAAGTCCGGCCCTTCCAGCGACGACTATATAGAGCAGCCATATGACACGAATCTGGAGGACAAGAAACGTAATTGACAAAAGGAGGAGGATGACCAGGATCATCTCGAAGCTGGTATTCAATGTGAGATGTACAACAAAGTGCAGCTTTTTGTGCAAAAAGAATATAACATTTTTTTTCCCAAAAAGAGAACATATTAGGAGAAATCCTTAAGGGAACAAAAGGAGTATTAGATGTATCTTCATTTCATTTTTACTCTCCATCAGAACTAAATCCAAGCTAATTCTTTTCAGTACCCAATCTTATGGATCTGACGGACCTCCGAGTTCGGTGTCTTAGAGGAAGATTAATGATATCAAATGGTCAGAACAGAAATAGTCACTACGACGTCATTGCTTTCTACAATCACCAGAGAAATGCAATGTACTCGCCCTTACGACCTCGATCCAAGAAAAGGGGAAAAATCCGAACATTAAACGTAAATCTACCATGAGAATCGGATCTCCAGATCACTCGAGATTCCCGAAAGACTTTTTTTTTTTTTAAGCGGAGTGTCCCGTCACCATTCAAAATACCTAGGTCGGACTAGCAAAAAGGGGCAAAATCAAGTCTTTAAGCCAAACAACCACCGAGAACCAATCTTTTTAGCATTAGAATGTCGAATCCAAGCCCAAAACCAACATTAAACATTGAAAAAAGAAGAAACAACGATAAAGAAAAGATAAACTCCAACCTGCAGTTAGCGGCGATGGCGGCGAGTCCGGCCGTGCTGAAACCCTCGCAGGAGACGAGAGAGAGCACCTTGAAGTTCTTGAAACACCGGGCGATGAGCTCAAGGCAGTCGTCAGAGACCACCATCCTTTTGAGGCGGAGCTCCTCCAGGTGCGGCCAACCCTCCACCATCGCCTCGACCCACGCCTCGGCCCCGCCGCCCCAGTCGCTGGGCACCAGGTTGAAATCGGCGAAGTGGGGCTTCCCCTTGATCGCGGCCGCCCTCACCTCCGGGAATCGCCGGACCGCCGCGGCCGGCTCCACCGCATAGCAGTTCCCAACGAATACCCGCCACCGCGACCGCCGCTCGATCCGGTACCACGCGCGGCACACGAGCGCCGCTGCGTTCCGGTCGGCGTCCGCCGGGAGGAACGAGAACACGTGCTCCCACACCTCATCCGGGAACATCGCCGCCCATCTGAACCCCCCTACCATCGCCGTCCGCTCGGTGCTCCGCCGCCGACGTCGCTACCGTCCAACGGCGAAGGGAGAAGGGAGATGACGGTTCGTGGGAACCCTCATCATGGGGAAGAGATGAGAGGTTGAGGAGGGTCTCGTCCTCTGTGGCATAGAATCGAGCTCGGATCTCGAGATGGACGGTCCAAAGGCCGACTCGTGTCAATTAATCGATCTGGGCCGTCGGATGTGTTCAGTGGCGGGGGCGTCCTTATCCACGAGTCCCGCAAGGGAGAGCGTGTGCACCCCCTGGCCCAAGCGGGAAACGTACGTCAAACGGAAACGGGATTCTCTCCGCTCCCTTTAAATCCCGATCTTTTTTCTGTGGCAAAAGGGGAAACGAGAAAAACAGGGGAAACCGGCCCGAGGAGAAGGGTGCGCAGTGACGGGTGGGGTCCTCGTAATTGGTGATGAGGGCTGTGATTGGTGGGCAACTAAAGAGGGGTAACGTTGGGGGGGGAATCTTTCTTTTGCTTGCTGTGGACCACCGGAGAGAGAGATGTGTCACTGTAAAGGCGGCGGGCCCCACTTATTCATTGTCCTATTTTAAGTCTCTTCACAGTTCACATTCTTTTAAGCCAAGGCGAAATAACTTAAGATATTATATATATTTATCATTTTAATTTCTAGTGCAGCGTTTAGTACGCAGTGATCACTTGGATTCCCTGCCGTCAGTAGCGAGCACGGTACGCTTCTTTCAGGGGTGGGCGGCGGTGTGGGACGGTCAACTCACCGCGTGACGAGGAGCACGTTGCGACGCGACAACTCCGCGCCCGACTCGTCCATTCCGACACCCTGCAACCAAAGCGACGGTTCCGATGCGGCTGTTACCGTGCGCCGCAAGTTTTCCCGTCACCGACGGTGATCCGGCGCCTTCAAAAGGCGTGCGCACCCCTGCGACCGAATCATTCGACGCTCTACTTCCCTAAACTGCCCTCCGGTCCACGCCACCGCTGAGGACGCGCGACCTTGTTGATCGCGGGGGTATTATGGTAAGACAAAAGAGGATAAGGCGGGGGTGGAGAGGCAACGGACGGACGGGATTTGATCAAGGAAATGTGAATATCTTGGTGATCTCGATATAATGCGTAGGGCCACCGGAGTAAAGATACGTTGATCACTGTGGTCTCCACTGCATGGATCCTATGTCAACCTACGGGTACTGTACAAGGTAGGTGTACATGCATGCATGGTGCGTGATTCAATTGATGATGGCGATGGCCATAAAGAAGGAAGGTGATGTAAACATAGGAGACTCAGCGTTGTGTTGGTGGATCGGTAGAAGCTTTGGAATCAAGCAATGCTTGCTTGGTGGACGATAAATGCAGCATGAGTGGCAGATACAGCATGGCAGTGCGCTCATTGATGTTACATGTCAAAACAACCAATTCACCAATCCCCGCCAATAGCAATCTACTGTGCCAACTAATTGCATTCGATAATATATTAACCTGTGATTTAAACTAAGGTTGGAATCTCAAATTTATGAGGCATAATTGTATAAAATAGTTTTCATCTTAGCTCTCCGTATTATTAGTATGGCATTGATTGATGATAGCGTCAATCGTGAGGAGTCGATGATTTCATCTACACAATGTTATACATATTGTTTCTTTATGACTTGATTAACGTTTACTGAGGTTAGTAAGAGATCCATTGTGAAAATTTTTAAAAATATTATTGCATTCAAAGTCATATATAGTAAAAATTTATGTTGATATATTACTGATTAGACATCACGAATTTATGTTGAATTAAAGATTCAAATTTCGTTTCATCATTATCTTTTATAACAAAATATATCTTTTTAGAATTTAAACCTACGATGATAAAATGAGAACGACATAAACACAAATATGTCTTCGTCTCTAAAAGATTATTATATTAATTTTATAAAATTTGAATGAGAATCTACCAAAATTTGATTTAAAAATTATAAAACAATTCAATAACTATTCACATTCTATATTAAAATGTGTATCATATGATAAGATTGAGATCAACAAGATAAGCTTTATTATGTTACCCTTGTAATAAGTTAAGTTACTCTTGATTGTAGTAAAATCAAGTTATGTAATTGAGTTCAACACACTTCATTTACCAGTGTAATAGTATGAAGTTTGTCAAGCTCACTTCAAACTTTCATGGTCAAATGAAAATATGATGTAAATAGTTAATCTATTAGTTCTTTAAAATTTTTATTGATTTTTTAGGGTCTCCACAGTCTAATTTGACATATTTTCATCTTGAATTTGCAAGCAAATAATATAGTTTATTGTTTATTCAACTCACTTCAAATTTTTACATTAGATAAGAATT